AGCTGTAACACAAATACACATAGAATTAAGGCACAGAAGACCCTACACTACTTTACCCTATGTTACACAGTCGATGAAATTCAAATGCCAATTTCTCACTTGTGTCTGTGCACTATGAGCATCCTATTTTCCATTTTCACTGTATCTCTAATATTCAAAATCCCAGAGAAAGGCTTTCTGCAGTACCCTCGCATTGATGATGAAAACCAGAAACTACAAAATATGTAGCCTTAATAATAAAATATCTCAACCAATTTTATCCCAACACACCACCACAGGAACAGAAATAAAGCAGAAACGACGAAGTCATTTTAAGGCTTGTTTTACAAAATGCTAGGTGGAATATCAATTGATAAATCCTTATTTAGCACCTGTGTGTTCAGCATTGTGTCGAGGGGAAAAACAGCTATGTGAGAAAGCCACAAGTTCTAAGTAAATGAATATGAAAGTTATACAAGGGACACCAAGTTTAACTACATAGGAATAATGAGAAAGAGGACAATATCAGAAAAGGCTTTTTATTGAAAGCCAAGAAGACTAATTCAAATATGTAAGAACTGTGACAATGGTCACATTCCTTACCTGGGTCCACTCAGTCAGTTTTCTACAGAGCCTACATGGAGGGTTCATTTGTTTTTTGTTTGTTTGTTTTTAAAGGCAAACCAAGATGAGGGGAGGACCATGGTTGAACCTCAGTGATTGAGAATTCATGCTCTTGAAGCATCATACTAGTCTTTAGCAACAAATGGTGCACGCGCGCACACACACACACACACACAGATTTTTGAGACTGTGTTTCGCTCTGTTGCCCAGGCTGCAATGCAGTGGCGTGATCTCGGCTCCCTGCAAGCTCCACCTCCCAGGTAGCTGGGACAACACGCCTATCTCCTGCCTCAGCCTCCCAAGCAGCTGAGACTACAGGCGTCCACCACCACGCCTGGCTATTTTTTTTTGTATTTTTAGTAGAGACAGGGTTTCACCGTGTTAGCCAGAATGGTCTCGATCTCCTGACCTCGTGATCCACCCGCCTCAGCCTCCCAAAGTGCTGGGATTACAGGCATGAGCCACGGCGCCCAGCCTAGACTTGATTTTTTAAAAAGGGCAGGAGAGGGCTACTAAACAAAGACTATGTGAGGAAGAAAATATTTCAAAAATATCAATCAGCAAGTGTTATGCAAGCAACTAGAAATGACAGGAGTCAAGAAGACAAGTTAGAAAATTACTGTTCAAATAATGGTTTCAAATGATGGCAACAAACTTTTTCAGAAAATACACCAATGGATCCAGTCAAACGACATTCTTTTAAACAAACACACTGTATGATAATATATGAACCGCCACAACACTATCAGTAATCCTGACAGAAGGTATAATTACATTGCTTAACTGGTAACTAGGGGCACTCTTTCCTATTAGAACTTGGCAGTTTCAAAAAAGCAGCCAAAAATCATACTACCAAAATTTGAGGCTTTCTCGATGAGCTTAATTTCAGTCCAATTAATAAGTGCCTGCCACACCCTACATTAACAGGCACAGATTTGTTTAAATTAATCTCCCCAGGGGCAGGCTAATTCAGGGGTTAGTATTATTAGAATCTGTGTGAACAACTGGGTGCAGGTGTTCACATTACCAACAGGAGAATTAACTCTTAAACCACTTTTAGCAGATAGTGGGTGTTCGGTGAACTAATAGAATTTCTAAAGGGTGGAGTATACGTGGGGACACTAATATGTAAAGCAGTGACACTGTAAGCTGAAAAATAATTTGTCTTTCTTTACAATAAGTGACCGCCATCATTCATCACAGAAAGCTACAGTCACAAGTCAAATTAACTACTGTATCACAATCATATTATGCTACACCTTACTGGTTCAGAATGTAACCTTTCAGAAGAAAAACAAGACTGGTTGTTAACAATCCTGCAAAGTAACTGAACCTCTGTAGACAGTAAATAAACAGCAGACAATGCTCCTTTAGGCCCTGAACGAAACAGGTTTGGCATAAATCTGTTCAATGCGTCCTTTCCATTTTACATAAACAAGTAAAAGGCAAACCATAGAGAGTAACTACCACTACACTGGCTTGCGACTTGTCTTAAGATGAATTTGTTTAGAAAGTTTGTTTTAAATTGATCATATCGGGGGGCGGGTGCTCGATGGCTCATGCCTGTAATCCCAGCACTTTGGGAGGCCCGGGTGGGCAGATCACGAGGTCAGGAGATCGAGACCATCCTGGTTAACACGGTGAAACCCCGTTTCTACTAAAAAATACAAAAAATTAGCTGGGTGTGGTGGCGGGCGCCCACCTACTCAGAAGGCTGAGGCAGGAGAATGGCAAACCTGGGAAGCAGAGCTTGTAGTGAGCTGAGATCACACTACTGCACTCCAGCCTGGGTGACAGAGCAAGACTACGCCTCAAATAAAGAAAAAAAAAAACTTATTAAGTTTGTATTTAAAAATTTAATGGCCAGGCCTGGTGGCTCACGCCTGTAATCCCAGCACTTTGGGAGGCTGAGGTGGGTGGATCACAAAGTCAGGAGTTCAACACCAGCCTGACCAATACTGAGAAACCCTGTCTCTACTAAAAATACAAAAATTAGCCGGGCATGGTGGCAGGCACCTGTAGTTCCAGCTACTTGGGAGGTTGACACAGAAGAATCACTTGAACCCGAGAGGCGGAGGTTGCAATGAACCAAGATCGCGCCACTGCACTCCAGCCTGGGCGATAGAGCGAGACTCCATCTCAAAAAAAATAAAATAAATTTAACATCAGAAAATTTACAACACATTCAAGAAAATGTTAAGTGGCCACAAATCCAAATGAGTACTACAACAATCTTGACTTCTTGAAATAACTTTTCCAACTACAAGAAAAACCAACAAACAAAAAGCTTTGCAATACCCAAAGTTAGTCTGAACAAATACATCATCCCCAAACCAAACAAACCATATCCCAGGAGAACTACCATAAAGAGTAAACTTCAAAGTTTAAGATGTTCTACTGCGAACAAACTAGTCATCTATTCCTCAAGGAGTTCAATCACAGACACAGAATAATTTTGTCAAATATAATTGCCTACAAGACATCAGCACATAGCTCACAGGAGGTTATGAAGACTGCCTGCTTACAAAGAAAACAGAATGCTCTGTTAATGAAAGAATACTAGAAAATGGACAATTACGAACAGCACTAAATGAAACTAATGAACTTGAGAGGACTAATCTTTTTTTAACCACAATAACTTTTTTTTTAATCAGAAGAAATTGTCCCATTGAATGACAGCTGCCACTGGCACAGTCCCAGGGCAAGGACGCCATCAAAGGTTTTCTCTTAGCACCAGCTACCAAATCCTGGCCCCACACCCTGAGGGAGGACCTGTGAAAGTGCTCACAATAACTTTCTTACCATTAAATCAAATATTTAATGACGAGGAATACAAACCAAGACTATCACACTTTTTCTTTTTTCTTTTTTTTCTTTAAAGAGATGGGGTTTCACTCTATCGCCCAGGCACAATCATAGGTTACTGCAGCCTCGAACTCGGGGACTCAAGAGATTCTCTAGCCCCAGTCCCGTGAGTAACTGGGACCACAGGCGAATATCACCTTCATATATTTAAAATAAGCCCTCCATTTTGTCATATGAGGTTTCAAGATGAGGGTCCAGATCAAGTGGAAAACTAAGTTCTAATGAAACATCACTCTTATTTTGTTTTTTAGCTGAGGTGAAGTGAACTCACTACAACTACTCATCCATATATAGCAACCATCAGGAATGTGTTCGTATTTACATGCTGCACAAGCAGTGATCACATTCTTGTGTGTGCATATGTGTGTATACATGTGTATGTACATTTCTTTAACCTTTTCAATCTAGTTAAAAGTATTTTCAGTTCATAAGCATGGTATGTGTACAGACACATTTTCCCAGAACTTCTTGTAGAGGACCGGAAATCCTTCATAACATTATTACAATAGCTAAATGACAATTGTCTCCAATAGCCATATACATATACATACCCTGAAAAATGTTTCAATCACTCCACAAACACAAATCTCCAAACTACTGAATACAAGTTTATATTATCTTCTATCAATAGGATGGCTTATTAAAAAATTTAGTAAATGTGTATTAAGTCCACGGATGTCAACTGCCATAGGCACTTTCTTGAGCTTACTGGGTCACACAAACTAAAGACATGAGTGGCATGACCACGGCAGTGCAAGATCACATTAAGGTGAAAAACCTTGAATCATTTAAAACAGGATGTCTCAACCTCAGTACAGGTGACATTTTGGGCCAGATCATTTTTTGTTGTGGGAGCTTCCTCGTATTATCGAGTATGTAGCAGCATCTCTGGCCTCTACCCACTAGATGCCAGTATCACACCCTCCCCAGGTGTGAGAACCGAAAATGTCTCCAGATAGTGACAAATGTTCCCTGGGGAGGAAATTTTGGTCTAGGAATCTAAAAACTTAGTACAGTGTGTCAGTTTCAAAAGAGTATATTCTGCAAAACCAAGGAAGTTCCAAAACAACTTCAGGCATTCCAAATAGCTGCTTTATACAAAACTTTCTTGGATGAAGTAAATGAAACCGTGTTACTGGAGATAGCTAATTCTTCCACATGTGCATGATTAAACACTTGTGATGATGAATCTGGGACAGGCTGGGACAGGAGCCAACAGTGACTGGGTTTTATAGTTTGGATGAATTACACCTCCTTTTAACCCTTCAGTGGACTAACCATCCTGCCAGGGTAACCCTTTATTCGCCAACCATATTCCCTGACGTCTTCCACATAAGATTCACTCCTGCGGGCCCTCACCTTTTGACACTGCCTCCCACCGCACTGAGGTCAACTCTCACCCAAGAGTTCCGCCACCAAACCAGCTTGTCCTTGCCACATGCCCCCAGGGCCCCAGCTCTCATCCTGGCATACCCTGTCCAGGCCCGCTCTTGACCCCTGACCCCGCCACCCCCTCCCCCCCAGGGAGGTACCTGAAGTAGTAGACATCGCTCTTGCCAGCACTTAGCCCAGATTTTCGGATCACTTCCTCCTTCTTCCATCCGGGGGGGAGGGCAGGGCAGTCCATCCTCTTCCCGCTCTCCGTGGCCCGGGATCCCCTGGGCCCCGGCCCCGCGCTCCCCGACGGGAAAGGGACCGGCTCCCGCCGGGGGGCGCCGCCGCCACCGCTGCCGCCACTCGGACGGCCGCGGCCCCGGCCCCCGCCCGTCCCCGTCCCCGGCCACGGCCCCGGCCCCGGCCACGGCCACAGACGCCGCCGCCCCGGCCCGCCTGCTTCCACCGCCCCCGGCCACGGCCGCCGCCCCGAGCGCCTTCCCTGCGCACGCCGCTCACCGGGGACGGGGCGAGCGCGCTGCCCTGGCCCCCCTGCTCTATGGCGGAGTCGCCGCCAGCGCCGCTGCCGCCCGCCGCGCTCTCCCCCTCCTCCTGCTCCGGGCAGCAGCGGCCTCCCCCCGGGTGCGCGCGCATCCAGCCCCCTCCCCAGCCGGCGCTGCGCTTCTTCCGTAACCGAGCCCTTGGAATCCCGGAGACCCGCCCCGCCCGCAGCGCGGCGCGCGGGGGACGCGCGCAAGCATCATAGAGCGGGCGCGCACAGAGCGGCCCTCTTGCCCGGGGCGTGGCCCCGGCCACCGCCTCTTAGGTCCTCCAAGCGCTCTGGGCGGCCATCTTGTCTCCGCCTCCTCGGGGCCACGCCCCCTGCCGCGCTTTTCCGGCCCGGGCCCCCCCTGGGCGCGCGGAGCCGGGAATGTTGGTTAGGCTAGTCACCAGCTGGAGGTGTCATAGTGACTGTGGTCAGTTTGTTTCATACAGGGTAATCTGCACCATTATGTGATTTTACCTATGTTTGCTTCCCAATTAATGAATAACAAGCAAAATAGATCTTATATACTCACTAACTCGGCTATTCATTTAAGGGGATCATAGCCCCTTTTCCCGCCTCTCTGCACAAAGCTTGCAGGGGAGCTTATACTGAAGGAATGAAGCAAAGTGTCCCATTCGCGGAATACCAGTGCACCTCCTGAGCCTGGCTTCAGAGCCATTGACAGATTCTCCTGGAACCTTGTAAGGATGTAGGAAGGGAAATGATAACTTGGAATATGCCTATGAGTCAGATGTGGCTTACCTCTATGTTCTTCTTAGAGTGACCAGAATCCCTAAATCCATCTAGAAATTTCCAGATGTCTTTGTCTAATACAAAAATCAATGGCCTTTTATTTGGTAAATATTCCCTTATGTTGAATGTCCAGCCTAACCTACTGTCACAAGCCTTTAGGAAACTGTGTGGGATTCTTTTCGGTCAGCCAACTCATCATCCAAGAATGATTTTAAAGCATAATGACAAATCGATTAAGGAAACTGATTTGAATTTTAGAAATGCATATTTTCTATAAGTTGTTGAACATTTATACAAGTGTGCTATTGAAATTCAAGATAATGTATTATGAAATGTTTGGAAGATTGAAAAATGTAAAGCACATGTTATCAGCCTGATGATAAGCTATCTTGGGTTTCCATACTCATATGACCTAAAAACGAGGACCAAGTTTAACGTATAGAAAAAGTTGATTAATATAAAGCAACGAAAATCTGAAATTAATTTGGTTTATCTTTGCAGTATATGCAAACATTAACTCATACACACGAACTTGTCTGTCTCTAAACCTGACCCTAGTCTTCTTTTAATGTCCTTTAGTTGAAAGACACTAATTTATGGCTTCCTACAAGGAATTTAGAAATGTGAATCTAAAAATTCATCAAGTAAGTTCTGAGGAGAGAGATCAGTACTGGAGACATTCACATAGAAGTCGTTTGTGGCCAGGCGCGGTAGCTCACTTATGTAATCCCAGCACTTTGGGAGGCCGAGGCCGGCGGATCGCGAGGTCTGGAGATAGAGACCATCTTGGCCAACATGGTGAAACCCCGTCTTTATTAAAATACAAAAATTAGTTGGACGTGGTGGCGTGCGCCTGTAATCCCAGCTACTTGGGAGGCTGAGGCAAGAGAATAGCTTAAACACGGAAGGCAGAGGTTGCAGTGAGCCGAGATCGCATCACGGCACTCCAGCCTGGCAACCGAGCAAGACTGCGAGAAAAAAAAGTCACTTGTGAAAATGTCAATTGAAGGAGACCCTGCAAGTAAGTAAGATCTCCAAGGAAGGGCTTGCATGGTTAATAATAAAAGGAAAGAGGATCAATAACTGAATCTTGAAGAATGCCAATACTTAAGGTTCCACTGAAGGAATAAAGGAAAAAAATGATATTAAAGTTTGTATGACGTAAGAGAGTACTCTGATTTTCACACATAATTGAAAATAAAGGGTAAACATGAACAAAAAATCTCAGTAGAAACGGTAATTGAGACAGGTGGTTGAGACAACGGATGGAAACAGGTATACTTTTGGAAAATTCTACCTTTTCATGCTGTGCTAATAAGGCTGTAGATCAAATGATATATTGGATACAAAAGCATTCTTAAAGAAATAAATCACAGGATTTTCGGGTCATTATTTTGACTTCTACTACCAGATTCCATTTGCTAAATCCCAGAAGATGTAGCCTAATGTTTCCTCTGTTAAGAAAAATCTCATTTAGACATATCAAAAGCTTTTTGGTTACACTTGAACTTTTCTACTGTGATACCATAGAGCAAAGTAAAACAAAAAAAAACACAAAAAACAGATAAAAATAAATGCTCTTATTTATTCTCCCACTAAAAGAAAAAAAAAATACTCCAATTAAGGCAACAATAAATTCCAAAGGGGACTAGATTGAGATCGAAAACTGTTAAGAATAGACGCTAAATACCTGAGAGAGAGACCCCTTTGTTTCTCTTAAAATACTGGACAAATAATAAACCTTTTATAATTCTAGGAAAATGCATTTTCTATCACTCTTCCAGGAAGCATAACAACGTTGTTTTTCTCAGGTAGTAAAGTAAAGTTATGACCAAATTTTCAATTTGGTCTCTCTTACAATGGAGAAAGCTTGCTCACTTACCTCTTGGAAAAAGTGAAAGACAAAAGCAAGACAGGATCTGGTCCACTAAATGAACAAACAGAGATGTAACCACCTGTGATCTCTGCCTCCCAGGTATAAAGGCAGGTGCTAAAACACCAACTGTCACCCCTAGAAGACTATTCATTCTTTGATTTTTCCCTTTATTGTTTAGCAGGTAAAACTGAGTAAAGTTAAGCCATTAAAGAAAAAGTTGTTTTAAAGAAAGATGTTGATCTGGATTTTTATTTTGAAAATTAGAACACATTCAGGTAATGAAACTTCGAAGAATATTAGGAGGTGAGACTGATTTTGAGAACTATATATTCTGTCAAATATATAACCTGCGTTTAAATCTTTGAGTGTGATAAAATACCCAATAAAAGCAGGGGGTTTTGTGTTTGTTTTTTTGTTTTGTTTTGTTTGGTCTTTTTTTGGGGGGGGTTTTGTTTGTTTGGTTGATTGGTTTATTGGGTTTTTTGTTGTTGTTGTTGTTGTTGTTTTGGCCTCCTGTGTATAACTGGTACCACAGGTACATGCCACCACACCCAGCTAATTAAGACTTTTTTTTTTTGGTAGAGATGGGAGTCTCCCCCTATTGCCCAGGCCGATCTCAAACTCCTGGGCTCAAGCAATCCTCCCGCCCCACTTCCCAAAGCCCTAGGATTATGGGAGTGGGCCACCGCACTCAGCTAGAAAAACGTTTCAAATACTGGAAAACCTTACTTTTTTCAATGAACATTTTTGCATGAAGGAGTAACAGGGACTTTAGGGTTTTTTTCTCTTAGACTCCAAACAGGTCAGAATTTATCAAGACATTACATAGGAGTAAGGACACAGTGGGGGGGATAAAACATTTTCCAGCACTAATTAACAGGTTTTATGATTCACTAGGTTGGCCCAACTACTATTCTCACCTAATTCCCAGACACAGCATGTCACGAGGCCAAATGACACTTTCAAGTGCAAGAGCTTATAGTATGAAGAGGGCAAAGATCACCTAGTAGCCATCAAGCTGGCCGTCCAGAGGCAAAACTCCTTATGTGAGGAATTTAGAAGTAATTAGGCTCCCCTATTATCTAAAGCTGGCGTCTGTGTCCAGGCTTCTTTCCCAAAAACTTGTAAGTAACTAAAATTTCTACACGTCTCCCATGCATGCATGTCAAAACTTATTATGCAACCCTTGCTGACATTAAGACACCAAAATGTCTAAAAATGTAATCATTTATCATGACCTATGTGGTTAATATGGCCCAAATTCCCTTTAAGCTTCTGCTTTAAGGTCCATAAATATCTCTAAGGAAAATCCACTCATTCCTCTTTTGCTGAGGCGCCCTGCTGTACTCTTCTGCACTGTTCTTTCTTTCTAATAAAACTTGCTTTTTCAAACCCGTGCTGTCTTCTGTAATTCTTCTCACAACCCTATGACTCGTGAGCCAACCACTTTCCGATGCCAGGGCTCTGACACCGCACCTGGCATAGTATAAATAAAGTTTTTGTTTGTTTGTTTGTTTGTGTTTTATAACCTTCCACTTGGAGAGACTACAGAGGAATCTTGCACTGCATAGCTCAAACTAAAACAAGAAGAGTTAATTATCTGAAAAGAAAGAGAAAACAAGAAAGGGTAAATTTTGAACCAAGGGAAAACATTTAAGAAGTGTCTGATATTTTTTAAATTTCTGTCAGTTATTACATTTGTTATAAGTAAATGTTTAGGAATAAAGGATGGAGACATGCTTATTTTATTTAACTCCCCCAAAATTAAAAAAAAACAAAAAATGGAAAACAAAACAGTGCAACCAGTAGAAAGAAAATGATCTTTAGGTTTTAGAGCCCTCAGATACCACTTAAAGTTAAAAACAGTGGTTTTTAACTTTAATTCTGGCTGCAAAACACCGGAATGCTAGGACATGTGATACATCAGAAATGAGGGCTGACTATGCAGTTTACAAGTGAGGAAGGAGTAGTCACTGAGTAAATCAGAAAATACATCTCACCAAAAGAGACTTTGTACCTAAAATGGCTTTCCCAAGTCCTCATGCATACCTCACAAGAGGCAAGGCAAAGACTAGAACTCCAGTCTCCTGACTCCAAGTTTAGAGCTTTGTCTGCTTTCACTGCCTGTCCCACCTTCAATGGCCTCTTCACTCTCATGCTTGCTGCTACTTCAAATTGGAAAGAGATTGTCTGTTTCCACCCACGCTCTCACCCCAACCTTCCATTTGGCTAATTTCTACTTATCTCTTAGGTTTCACCTTAGACATTACTTCATCCAAGTTGCCTTTTCTAACCTCCCCAGAAATTCCACTGCTGATTCGGTGTCCCCCAGGTTGTATACTCTGCGCCATACTAGTATCCTCATCCATTTATTGTACTTTATTGAATTAGTTTTTTAATTGTCTTTTGTCCCCCACCAGCCCACAAGGCACTTTTCATATTCACCATTGCATTCTCTGTGCCTATTACTGGACTTGCCGGGCACATGGGAAGGGTTCATTAGATAGTTGATGAATACATTGAATTAATACTTTTTTTTTTTTTTTTTTTGAGGCGGAGTTTCGCTCTTGTCACCCAGGCTGGAGTGCAGTGGTGCAATCTCAACTCACAGCAACCTCCACCTCCCG